AATTTTTCATAGAATTCGTTTTCAAGGTGCTCGAAAAGGATGTAGTCTGTTCTGAGGATGCACGCTGGATAAGGGAGACTTTGTGGCCCGATTCAACAAACTTCTACATCTCTAGCTGTTCAAAGTGTGGTTGAGCGCTCCCATGCTAGTGGATTGGAACTTTTCTGTCAAGCGATGGTGGACGAAGCGCCACAACTATTTTCGTATATCGTGAATTATTGCTACGGTTGTAGGACATCAGCTGTCATTGCCTTTTTTGTGCAGATTTGGTTGTGGGAGATGTATGGGAGTTTCTTCTCACCCTAAACACTGCACTGAACTCAAGCTTATTCAATTTTCACAACAAATCATAAACCCTTCCAGAAATCTATACTCTTTTTCTACTCTTTATATTTTTGTTTAGCAAACACGAGGTGTTATTGTTTCTTTGTTTATGAGCAATCTGACGTTTCGGCGGTTTTCGCTTTCCTCAGAGCCTGGAAAGGTCAAGTTGACTGCAATCTACACGGCCAAACGTCTCCATAACCAAACAGAGGAAATGCTGAACCAAAATTTCAATTACATTGCACACAGAGTCTTTGCACACTCACCTCTTTCTATGAGTCTTCCATTACATATGTCAGGCGAAGACCAACCGCTGTCTTATTAATGGCTTTGTCTTTTCTTTGTCTTTTCTCTACGGCTCAGTTGGCATGCCGGCACCAATTTACCGCTTGTTTTTATTTCTTCCATGTCTTTCAAATGGGAATCGGTATCTCAGTGGTTATCTCTAAGTTCCTCTGCAACTATGGAATAGTTTTTTTTCGGACCAGCTTCGATTGCCTTCAGATGGCCGTCGTCATCTGCTAATAGGTGTCGTTGACCATATTCCTCTTCAAGACGAATCTTTTCTGTGCAAAATTTTCCGAGCAATCAGTGGATTATGCGTCTAGGAACCCTTCCATATCCTGTGATGCTTTGTTGATATGATGAGCGACTTCCGTTGTTGAACGACCAAGTTCTAAACATGAAGCAAAACAATATGAATCTGTTGATTCGAAACATCATTCCAGCTCTACCCTAAAATCGTTATGAGTTGGATGTCAGAAGAACTATTACGCGAGAAGCAGTTATAGAGAACCAACAGGTTCAAAATGGTGCATAAAAACAATAGGTAAAAGTGTCCCTTGTAAAATCTACCACTATATTGAATAGCGATGAAAAGGGTTCTTTACACCAACTCAATCAATTGTCATACCTTATTTTCTGCCTATTATAATTTCGCGGCAGGGTAATAAGCGAAATACAACCACAACGTTGCTGAGATATTTGCATAACTCTGGACCGCAGGTGTCTATGATGGGGAACGCACGCGCTATTGTCCTTTCCGGGGAGTAACGCGTTCACCGCCACACCATGCGGGTCCTTTGTTTCGCCTGTCTCTCAGCTATTTCGATCGATCTTTGCCACAACAATCACCCGTCAGCGGGATTGATCTGGGGCGCCCAAATCGGCATAGAACCCAGTTAAGCTGCGGCTGTAGTTGAAATCACAATGTTATACCTTTTATAGTTGAAATCACAATGTTATACCTTTTATAGCCGCAGCTTAACTGGGTTCTATGCCGATTTGGGCGCCCCAGATCAATCCCGCTGACGG